GTGCATGAATTCTGACACTTAATGTCTATTCCTCCCTATTGTGGATCCCATCAATATTTCCCTAAAGTTTGTAGCTCTCCTGAACAAACTATCTCTCTGTCAAATTCAAACATCAAATAACTCTAGGTGACATTCCACCAAGAGAGCTTTCCTAACTTCTCCTCCCAACCTTTGTTTTTCTCTGTGCGAATCATTACGAGAACCAGCATGACTTCCTAGAACTCCATTTCTTTTATTTTTTAGCATGCGCTGTACACAAAAGAAGGATAATCTAAGAACTGGCCCAACAACTTATAGCACCTTTGATTTAGTACCTGCAGAGGAAATAGCTCGACATGATTATATACTAATCATTTTTTCTCTCTTTTATACTGAAAACATATTGGTAACTCAACATTAAATTAATATTAACAAGTGTAGTGGTCAATAGAGTGTTAAAGGGTATGGAAAACAGCAGATGTATTTGTGCAGTGAAACTGAGGAAACTTTCCTTAACAGAGGTTGAATGTTCACAAGATCATGAAGGAATGAGGAGATGTGAGACAGCATCTCAAAAAGGCATCACATACAGAATAAGGGAGGTGAAAGACACCTCAGAGGAGGGAGATTTGCCGAAGACAAGCTAGTAGCAGCCAGAACTTCTGTCCTTCTTCAGAGAGGAATAAAGCAGAGCTGGTAGGAGGGTGGCAAAGAAACAAATCCCTTGGCAACTGGGGTGATGTCAAGGTCCTTTGGGTCAACCAGAGACTTCAGTTCAAAGTTCTGTAAGATGGTGGTCAGGAACAAAAACAATTCCATTCGGGCCAGGCCCTCTCCCACACAAATCCGTTTTCCTGAAAATAACAAGCACAGAAGGGAGTGGCTCTTTTTTTAATAACTGTAACTGCAAAAAACACTATGTTTGTGATGGGCACAAAGAGAACATGCAGTAACTGTTTGATGAACCATGGGATTGGATTGCTATTTCACCAAACAGCTGATCCTAACTGTTACCCTTCATTCAACAATATTTATTATCAGCTACATACCAAACACTTCATTAAGTATTTACATATTGAAACTCTTGTTCCCAGACTGACATTCCATGATCTTCGCTTCCCCTCTTCCACTCCCTGTTCTCAGTTCCAGCCATACACACTTTTCATCAACCTCCAGCACATTGTGAAATTTCTAGTTTTAAATCATGCTGTTTCTTTTGGTCAAAATGCACTTCTTTATACTACATTCAGGAAATAGGTCATATTTAATCTCCTTTTTACTCTCTTATGATCCCCTCAAGCAATTAAATTTTGCTCTTTCTGGGTTTCACAACATCAGATGCATGCTTCCACTGAAAAATAAGCTACAATCTGACTGTGTCTCCATAAATTCATGTGAAAACTTAATCTCCATGCACAGTGCTAAAGCTGTGGCCTTTGGAGGTCAATAAATCATGAGGGTACTGCTTTTTCAGTTTG